AGTCTTTTAGAGTTGAGACCTAGGCTGGTGAGCTGTGAATTGCTCAGCATAGGAGAAGCCTGTGACACTTTGAAATCCAGTCCCTAAGAAAACCACTATCAGAGGGAAAGTATTCAGAAAGTGGGCAATAAGGAAAAACAGGGGAGAAAAAAAAAGACTGAAATTACTAAAAAATCTCAAGAGGAAGAAAATCTAAAGACCTTAAGCATAAGCAGATAAATTAGTAGGGAAGACAGAAGGAAAATAGAGCCTCCAGATCTAGCAAATAAATAAATACTGCAGAATAAATGAAAACAATTTAACACCTAATGAGGAAGAGCACCCTCTGGATTTTTAAGGAGAGCATGGAACCACAACATGCTGTTCCAAAGTGGCTAAAAAAAGAAATGAGAATTGTGAGAGCAGAATCTGTGACCTGCACAACAGAAATAATTGTCAGAATAGAAAAACTTGAATCTGTAGGAGAAATATCACTAGAGAAACAAAAGAGAGGACAAATGATTGGAAGTGTAAATATATATATATATATATATATATATATACACACACATATATAAGTGAAGGATATTCTGGGAAAAGCAGAAAGCAGTAACAGTAAAAGAAAATGTTTTTCATATAAGCAAAATATATTGATCTTAAAGATAGGCTATGTAGAGATAATCTAAGGATTACAGGTCTTCCAGAAGAAGATGACAAGTCAAAAAATGTGAATGTCATAATACAAAAAATAATAGAAAAAAAACACTCAGAACTTCTGAAGATAGAAACAAAGTGTCAATCAGGGAAATCCATAGATCACCTCCAGAAAAAAAAAAAACACAAGGCTGAAAACACAAAGACACATAGTAGCTACATTTATCAATTCCATTGAGAAATAATAAATTCTTCAGGCAACCATGAGAAAGACCTTCAAATATAAAGGAAAATAAATTTAAATAATGCAGTACTGTTGTACATCCACCAAAAAATGCTGAAGGGACTGGAATAATGTCTTGCAAAGAGTAATGGAGCTCAAGATGCAGTCCAAGGTTAATAATTGCAAATCTGAGTTTTACCATAAATGAAAAGATATGAATATTCAATAATATAGAGGCAATTGAAATATTCTTAGAAAGAAAATCAGACCTGAGGAAATTATTTGCCTCTTGAAAACCTCAGATGACAGAAATGCAAAGGGGTGAATAATACAGAAGCCAAGGAAAACAACTGCAATAGAGTGACAACAGAGAGCCCGAAAAGAGACTTCTTTCTAAAAATATGCAAAGAAACGGGTGAAGGTAAAAAGTCAGGTAGAAGTGATGATAGAGAAAAGGGCCTGAGACATTATGGACTAAACTTCATGGCAACTCACCAATCAATGTAGGACTAAATTACAAAATGGGAGGCTAGAGGATAAGGAGCAGGATAGAGGGAAGTATGTGATATGCCTTGGCCAAGTTAAGAGCTAGCAATGAGGAGAAGGTCATTCAAGAAAAAGAGAGCCTATAGGTAAGGAGGTGAAGGAAGGCACTTAAGCAGGGATAGGGGAAGAGTAAAGCCTTAATTTGGGGGTAGGAGGGGTTGACACTTATTAATGCTTCTATGGGCAAAGAGAAATGTTCTATCAAGGGCCTTACTCTAGGTATTACTTGAAGAGATAATACGTCTTGTCTGCCTTGATGGGGAGGGGAATGATGTTGGAGCTCCTTAGGGCCTGGAGAAGTGAGCTGTATAATTGGGGATATGATGGAAAGATGGTATTGCCATAGATAAGTGCCTTCTCTATTTCCTACATTAACTGACTTTTTTTCTAAGAGTGAAATACAATGGAAAAGGAGAAGCTAAGGAGAAAACTCAACAAAGCAGTGACAGAAATTGCATAAAGGGAAGAACCCAGAATGGGGTACTTCAGAAGTTTTGATGCCATGAGAAATGAAGAGAAGAGAGAGACTAGATAATTCTAGGGGGAACGTGAAAATGAGAATGAGGGTCTAGAGTAAATAGAAAGGGAGAATGGATAGTTAAAAGAGTGAGGGAGAAAAATCTTCTCTGGCAAGTGATACAAAAAAATTAATTTTAAAAGCTAATAAACAAGGACTAGTTGAAGGGCAGGAGAGGAAGGGGAGTTCTTATTGACTGAGAGAAAATAAAGGGGGGAGCAATTAAATAACCAAATAAAAGCAGTAAGAAATGGGATCTAATAAGCAAAACTCCAAAGGGAAAGGGATAACAAATAGGAGAGCAGGGTTTGGGTGAGGGAAAAGAAAGCTAGTGGGAATAGTCAGCTTTTAAAAGATTAAAGTAACTGAAAAGACATAATACATAGTAGAAGGAGGAGGAAATCATAATTCGAAAAAAATTAAATGAGAGACAAATAGAGGAAAATATAAAATTTGCACTCATCACTTTAAATGTTAATGAATTAAGCCAATAAAACAAAAAGTGACAGTTTGGATAATAAAACAAAATGTGATAATCTGTTTCTTACAAAAAACATATTTAAAAAACAAAGACATACACAGAATGAAACTGAGGGACTGGAAAAATAAATTTACTGTTCATCAAGAGAATACAAAAAAAGGAAGAGTTGCAATCATGGTCATTGACAAGGAAATTTTTTTTTAATTAAATGAAATAAAGAAAGAAAGTACATTATTCTGAAAGGAGCCATAAACAGCAAACAAATATCTTTATTAAACTAATATGCTCCAAATGCCTTAGCATCTAAATTCATAAAGGAAACATTAACTCAACAAGAATACATGGACAGTAAAAAAAAAAATAGTGATAGAAGATTTCAGTATCTGTCTTTCAATTTTGACCATCTATTCTATCATATAAAAAGAACAGCATGATATGGAACTTTATAAAAATTGGCCATGAATTAGGATACAGAAATATTGCAAACAAATGTAAAAAGGCAGGAACAGTTAATACATCCTTTACAGACCATAAAACAATAAGAAGGGTCAATTGTTCAGGAAACACAAATGAAAAACATAGACCCAAACAGAAACTTGACAATGCAATCCTAAATAATGAGTGGGTCAAAAACAAATCATAGAAACAATAAGTATGTGAAAGAAAATTATAATGATGAAACAACATCCTCAAATTTCTAGAATGCAGCTAAAGCAGTCCGTGGGCAAAAATCATATCCCTACAAATAAAATGATGAAATAGAAATAAAATAGAATAGAAAAGAATAGAATAAGTAGTAACAAAATAGAAAAAAGAGAGGATTAATGAACTGAATATACATTTAAAAAATTAGAAAGCCAACATATGAAAAAACCTAAAATAAGTACAAAAGAGAAGATAGTAAAAATTAGAGGAAAAATAGAAAAACCAGAAACAAAAAAAAATGGAAATGAAGAATAAGACTAAAAGCTGGTTCTTTAAAAAGAAAGACTAAAGAAATTGAAAAACTTTTAGCTGATCTGATTAAAAAGAAGAAAGAAAATCAAATCAATAAAATGTCAAATAAACAAGGTGAAATGACAAGAAAACCAGAAGAAATAAAATGGATAATCAGAACCTATTATATATAATTATATACTAACAAAACTCAGAACACAAAATAAACAGAGGAATACCATTTAAAAATATACCTAAATTGACAGAAGACCAGATAGAGGTCTTAAATAACCCAGTCTCAGAGAAAGAAATAAAATGAGTTATAAAGGAGCCACCAAAGGGGTGAGGGGAGAACTGGTCCTGGTCCTCACAGAAAAATTCTATCAAACTTTTAAAGAACTATTAATACCTATACTTCACAAATTTTTCTCAAAAATTTAGAAAGTACCCAAGCTATTAATAGTCATGTGGAAAAAATGCTCTAAACCACTAATAAATAGTGAAATCAACATTAAAACAACTGAGATTCTACCTTATGCCCAACAGATTAGCAAATTGTCCAAAAAAAAAGGAAGAAAGAAAATTACAGATATTGGAGAGGATGCTGAAAAAGAGACACTCAAAAGCAATTTGGAACTATGCCCCCAAAAGACAGTAAACTCAGTACACCTTTTAATCTAGCAATACCACTATTTGGGATATACCATAAAGAGATCACAGAAAGAGTAAACAGATTCATTTGGACAAAAATATTTATTACAGCTTTTGGTATTGCCAAAGAACTAGAAACTAAGAAGGTGTCCTTTGGGAATGGCTGAACAAATAATGCTGTATGAATCTAATGGAATAGTATTGTGCTATCAGAAACAATGAATGGGACAGTTTCAGAGAAACAATGGAAGATCTATGTGAACTAATGGAAAGTGAAATGAGCAGAATCAGGAAAACAATTTATATGACAACCTTGTGAACAACTTTGAATAATTTAAAAACTCTGATCAATGCAATGAACAACCAGAGTGCTGGATTCCCAACACTGAAGTTTACCTACTAAGAGAGAGGTGATGGCCTCAAGATGTAAAATAAGTCATATATTTTAGGAAATGGTTAATGTATAAATTTGTTTCATTTTACTATGAATATTTACTAGAAAGGTTTTTTTTTCTTCCCACAGTGGAAGGCAGAAGGAGGATGACAAGAATGAAAAAATAAATGCTTTATATTTGGAAAAATCAAATTTAATTTTTTTTACAGAATTCACAAGAGTACATGGATAAAAATTGCTTAAGATGAGAAAGTATAGAATGAGTTGCAATCTGCACTTTTGGAAAGACTGTACACATGGGTGAAATTGTAAATCCACTGATGTATTAAAGACATTTCAAAAGGGTTTTGTTTTCATCCAACATGGAAAATATTTGAATAATGGGTGTAAATGACTAAAAGAAAAATCTTCATAACAATTCCTGGGTGAGGTTTCTGCAGCAGGATTTTAATATTTTGCTTTAAGGGAATTCTCAGTGTGCTGAACATGCCCATACTCAATAGAAATACAAAATATATTCCAATACAAATACAAAGTTTTCGGATTACCAGATGATTTGGAACACAAACAAATCTGTTGTGAATAATTTAGACTTGACTTAGATTAACAAAAATCTTACTTCTTTGGGAGAAAATGCCAGCCCACATTCCAACGATGTCTTTTCTTCTAATTCCACAGCATATGAATAAGGAAGTATAGGGTCTCTGAAAACTGTTCAGAATTATAAAAAATGCATTTATCAAATATAGTCAGATAAAGTGGGGAAAAGGTATTTAATTTGGTAATTTGAGAAATCTTATCCCAATAATAAAAAACAATTATTCCACAATTCCATAATGTTACATGTATGTCATACAAATACATTACACAGAAAGTCCTTAACCTCAAAGAACTTAAAACATGAAAATGTCAGTATTAATGCATACAAATGTGGTAAAATGTGTCAACAAAATATAAGCAAACAAAAAGAAACATATCACATAGATAAACATATCATAAATGTATGAAGACTTAATGCATGAAAAGGTAGAACACAAGAATAAATATATAACTGAGGTGAAGATCTGGATAGCAGCTGTAGGAGTTCTAATTTCAGACTACACGGTGCCAGGAAATCTGTTTGTTCTCGCATAATTAATTGAGGAAAGCTTCATGAAAGTGGTTTTGATTTTAGAAATGCTTTGATGTGTGGAGCACTGGTAGGTAGAAAAATAGAGGAGTCATAAAGAAATCTTCCAAAAAAATAAAGTGAATATTAAACAAAAAACAAATGATTGCAATTATAAATTAACTATACAGGAAAAACCAAGAAAATGATGAATGTCAGTAAATTAATCAATAAGCATTTATTAAGCACTGTGTTAAGCATTGGAGATAACAAAAAGAAGCAAACATCCCGTGCCCTCAAAGAGCTCAAATCTGATGGAGGAGACAACAAGCAAACAAATATGTACAATATGTATACAATATGTACATGAATCCTGATGTATTATATGACAAAATAGACTAGAAGAGCCACTGGACCAGAATGAATCCACAAGGACAAATCCATGATCAAAGTAATACAATCTTAAAAGCAATGAGAGATCATTTTATAAGCTATTTAAGGGAGGGGGATACCAAAAATTAATCAACAAACATGTACAAAGTACCTACTATTTGCCAGGCATTGTGCTAAGTACTGGGGATACAAAAAGGGGCAAAAGACAGCCTCTGCCTCCAAGGAGATTGAAATCCAATTGGGGAGATAATATGCAAACAAATATATACATTGAAATTATAAAAAAGAATAAATTGGAAATAATTGAGAGGAAAGGCATTAGAATCCAGAGGGGCTGAGAAAGGCTTCTTTTAGAAGATGAGATTTTGGTTGGTTTAGAAGATGAGATGGAGGAATCCAAGGAAGCCAAGAGATGAAGATGAGGAGGGAAAGCATTTCAAGAATGGGGGACAGCTAGAGAATATGCCCAGAGGTACAACATGGAGCACTGTGGCCAACAAGCAACAAGGAAGTCAGTATATGGCGGGAAGTAAAGCTAAGAACACTAGAAAAGTAGATTATGAAGGATTTTAAACACCAAACAGAAGATTTTGTATTGTATCATGGAAGTTATAGGGAGCCACTGGAGTTTAGGGTGGAGGGCGGTAAGAGGCAATGAGATGGAGAGACCTGTGCTTTAGTAAAATAACTTTATTGGTTGAATGGAGGATGGATTGGAATGAAGCAGGCAAATCATCCACCAGCAAGCTATCACAATAGCAAAGTGTGAGGTAATGAGGCCCTGCACTAGAGTGATGACAGTATCAGAGGAGAAAAGAGTGTGTGTTTAAGAGATGTTGCAAAGGTGAAATCAATAGGCCTTACAAATAGATTGGATATGAGAGATAAGTGATAGTGAGAAATTGAAGATTAAACCTAGATTGCATGCCTAGGGGATTTGGAGGATGGTGGTGCCATCAATAATAGTAATAGGGAAGTTAAGGTTAAGGTTAGGGGAAAAGATAATGAGTTCAATTTTGCACGTGTTGATTTCAGGATATTTAAAACTGGACATCAAGTTTGAGATGTCTGAAAAGCAATTAGAGATGAGAGATTGGAGATCAGTAGATAGAAAAGTTAGGGCAGGAGAGGTAAATTTTAAAACATCAGCATTGAGATGGTAATTAAATCCATGGGAGCTGATGAAATCACCAAGTGAAGTAGTATAAAGGCAGTAGAGAAGAGAGCCCAGGAAAGAACCCTTTGGGACACCTATGATTAGAGGGCTTGATCTGAATGAAGATCCAGTAAAAGAGACTAAGAAAAAGCAACTAGATAGGAGGAGAACTCAGAGAGATTAGTGTCCCAAAACCTGGAGAAAAGAGAGTATCAAGGAAAAGAGAGGGATTGATAGTATCAAAGGCTGCAGAGAGGTCAAGAAGAATGAGAATTGAGAAAGGACTATTGGATTTGGAAATTAAGAGATCATTGGTAACTTTGGAGAAAACAGTTTTGGTGGAATGATGAAGTTCAAAGCCTCATTGGGGCATGTTAAAAAGAGAATAAGAAGAAAGAAAGTGGAGACATCTGTTGTAGATGGCCTTCTCAAGGAATTTAGCCACAAGGGAAGAAGAGATAGCAGGGATGGAGGGATCAAGTAAGGGTTTTTTGAGGTTGAAGGAGACATGGGCATGTTTATAGACAATAAGAAAAGACCCTGTAGACAGGGAGAGATTGAGTGTGGATTACAGAGGAAGCAATTTGTTAGAGGTGACAGGATAGAATGAGATCACTTGTGCAGATAGAGGGGTTTGCTTTGGTAAGGAGTAAAGGGTCCTTCTTTCTGTGAGACAAGGGTGAAGATGGAGATAATATGTCACTCAGAAGACAACTGAGTGATATGAGATAATGAAGAGAAAAGAAAAGGGTGCTCATGACAAACAAAGGGTGCTCAAATCTAAATTTTTTTCTGTAAAATATGAGGCAGAGTTCTCAGCTGATAGAATGGGGGAGAGGAGACTATGGGAAGTTTGAGAAGGGATGAAAAAGTTTGGAAATGCTGTTGTGGAGAGTTGGATAGTAAGTTGACAAGGGTAAGGGAGGTGTAGAAGGATTTCCTAGGAGCCATGAAGGACCAGTTGAGATTGTATAACATAAATTTGTAATGGACCCAGTCAGAACAGTTGTGCAATTTCTCCACTTTCATTCAGAAGCACATGTGTAGAAGGTAAAACAGTTGATGGTGAGAGTGATCCAAGGCTAAGATTTGGTAAGGCACAGATGACGATATCAAAGGAGGCTATGGAATAAAAAGAAGATGACAGTGTAGAGTTGAATTGGTTCATCAAAGGATCAAGATGGGGAAAAGAGGAGAGGGTGCCTAGTGTAAGGGCGATGATCTGGAAGAGAACTGAAGGAATGAGGGATTGAACATCATGGTATGGACAAAGAATAGGGTTTAGTTAGGGAAGGCAGAGAGAGAGAGAGAGAGAGAGAAATGGAAAACCAATAGATGATCAGATAAGAGAATTTTGGAATTTCTTAGACATGGAGGCATTCATGGGTGATAGAAACATTAAGGACTGACCATCTTTGTAAGCAGCTGAATTGAAGTGAAGGAGTAAGTTACGGGAAATGAGTAGACTGAGGAATTGAATGATTAGGGTGTTTGAGGAAGAGTCAATATATATCTTGAAATACCCTAGTATGAGGGCAGGAGTTGGGAAGAAGAGAAAAATTGTGAGCCAAGTATTGAACTCATTGAAGAAGGAAGGGGAGTACCCTGGAAGTCTATAGACAGCATCTACCAGGATTTTTATTTGAGTGGTAGATATGAATACTATGAACCTCAAAGGAGAAAGCGATGGAGAAAGGGAAAGAACCTACAAGTGGCAATGGGGAGCAATAGTATTCCATCTCTCTTGACTCAACCGATGAGCCAAAATTATCAGTAAACTATAAAGAAAAACCAAGAGAATGATGAATGTCAGTTCTCTGGTTTGATGAACAACTATATCAGTGTATGCTTTAGATAGACATTACAAATGGAAAATGATTTAGATCCATAACCGAACAGGAGAAAAGGAGAGGTCTGGATTCCCTTAGGGAAACTGCACCATGCTTTTATTGATACCATATTTCTCTCTGAAGCAATGATGCATCTTTTTTTAATACCAATATTCTTTTAGTGAGGTTTTATGGCATCAAGTCATGGAACACTCCACCATCCAAAGAAATAAAATTAAAAATCACCTAAAGGATAACTGGGTGGGCACAGGCAGACTGTCACACATTATAAACAAGGAATTACATTGGGGAAGTGGTATAAACACATAATTTAAAAAGAACATGAGCTGGTCATATGGCAAGGGATGCACACAGATAACACATGTGCTCCATTTGTATCCTTGCAGTGTCAAGAGAACCTAATGGCTCTGACTCAAGTCTCATGTTAGAAACTTGTTGAAGGGAGGAAGGGACATAGACAAGAATCCCACAAAATGAGCAGGCATGGGGATCAAATGAAACAATATATGAAGCAATATATGAAAAGTACTTTGCAACCTTAAAGTGCCATATAAATGCTAGTTATTATGGGTTGTGATCTGCACTGTTGGAGACAATCCAACTTTGATGGGATAATACTTCCACTGGAGTTTGGGGGGTTTTGTTGTTGACTGGGAAATTCTCACCTAATTCTAAAATTCTGTAATCTTTAATTTAAAGAAACATTCAAAAGTAATGACTGAAGCATTTTTAGTTATCTGGAATCATCCTACAAACTGCCTCTCTTCCCATCATCCAAAACTCCCAGGAATCTGAAAGGAACTGGTAGCATCTCTGAACTCAGGTTCTCCTGAACACACTTCCATGACTACTCTCTCCAGTTTCCAATTCACTTCAATCCAGTAACCCTTTCCAATGACCCTTGATATGATGTAATAAATGAAAATGATGTAATAAAGAAAATGTTTAGTGAGTTTCTACCAAGTGTAAGCAATTAACTGCATAACATTGGGTTAAATAATGTGAAAAAGAGAATTAGACAGTCATGGTTATTGCCCTTTGGAAACATGAAAGCTGTAACAAACAAATGATGCAGTCAGAAATGAAAAGAACAGATTAAAAAATGAAATAAAACATTGAACCAATTCAACTTAGCAAACAGATTAAATATCATCTATGGGCAAAGTCTTTTGTGAGGCAGTATAAAGCAGTGGATAGAGCAGACCTCAGAGTGAGGAAGACCTGGAATGAAGTCCCACTTCTTAAGCATACTAGCTGTGTGATATTGGTCAAATCATTTAATCTCTTACTCCTCTGGGCAATTCTCTAAGACTCTGAGAATCAGAATAGTTGCTGATATATATTGGTACAGAGAGTTCCCTCACCAGGAGGTTCTCTACACTGGTGACATCACAGGTCTATGGCGAAATAAATGAGAGAGACAGAGACAGAGAGAGTGAAAGAGAAAGAGAGACAGAGACAGATAGACACAGAGCAATAGAAGACACAGAGAGACAGAAAAAGAGCCATCACCTTAATCAGAGTCACGTGTCACACTCAATCATTCTTGTAAGGAATGGCAAAATAATGCTGAGCCATTATAATAGTTTTCTTTCTAAATATATGTACCAACTAACCTTGGCAATTAAACTGTCTTCAACAGTTAAGTTTACCAAATACATATAATCCTGTGATACATTGGATCACATAATTTTAGAGTTAGAAGAGATCTCAGAGACCATCTAGCCTAATCGATAAACAAAAGGAACTCCCACTATACCACAACTATGAAATAATCATCCAGCTTCTGTTAGAAGATCTCCAAGAAGAGAGAACCTACCACCTTTCTCCTTGGTGGCATCCCACTCCACATTTGGAAAATATCGATTTTTAGAAAATTATTTTTTTTTCCTGGAATCAACCATAAATTTGTCTCTTTGCTAATTCCACCCATTGCCCTTAGTTCTATCTTCTGGAACCAAACAAAACAAGTCTAATGCCTCTTTTTACATGACAGCATCTTCAAATACCTGAATACAGAAATCACATATCTCATAAGTCTTTTCTATTTTCAGGGTAAACATTTCTAGTTTTTTCAACAAATCTTCATGCAACATGAAGGCCTTTCCCTAGCTTGGTTACCCTCCTCTGGATTCTGTCTTCCTTATCAATTTTCTTCTTGAACTGTAGTACCCAGAATTGAACACAATACTACCGATGGGTTCTGACCAAGGAAGACTAATACACTATCACTTCCTTACTCTTCAAAGTTATGCCCCTTTTGATGTAGGCCAAGATGGCATTGGCTTTTGTTGGCTGCCACATCACACTTCTGACTTAATATTAAGTTTTCAGTCCACTAAAAATCCCAGATCTTATTCAGACAAACTGCTTTTCTCACTAAACCTCCCTTATTCTGCATTTCCAAGGCTTATTTTTTCAACCTGATTTTAAAATGCTGTTTTTCCCTCCTGAATCTTATCTTTTAACTGTCATGATTTTTTTTCTATCCTGGTTCTGTCATCTGTACCTTCCAATTTAACAATCAAATATTTACTCTCAAAGTTGTACTGACATTAATTAAGATTGATGTACAGTTGCAGATGAAACCATTCTGGTCTGTGTACCATAACCAAAAGGGTTTAGAACCATGTCTTTTTCAACTTTGTGTCTCCCATAGTACCTAGCATAATGCATTGCATATAATAAATGGTCAACAACTATTTTTGAAAAGGCAAAATAACTATTACTTCAAGAAAAATCATACTAATATAGGGCAAAAATGCTATTCAAAAGTCATTAAGAAAGTTACCGTATCAACATTTAAATTTATTGGTAAAAAAAAATGTTTTCAAAAGTTTCAAATTGTCTTTAACAATGTCATTCTGGTTAAAAGAAATACCTTCATGGTCTTTAAATTCCAATGTAAAATCTTTATAATTTGATAAATCAAATTCCACTCGGGCACGTGTTGTACCATTGTTACTTAGTAAAAATGGAATAACCTTTGTAGAGCCAACATAAACTCCTTCGAAGTTTATTAAACTCTATAATTTAAAAATAAAATAAAACAAAAAGTCAAAAGTAGGAAATACAAAAACAAAGTTAACAACTCATACAAGCTTAAAATTATATTATCAAACATTTCAATAATATTATATGCTCAAAAGTATAACTGCCAGAAAAGAGGGTTTATGTTAGGATCGATGTAATGGAGGAGGATTACTCAAAGAACACTTTATTATAAACTCCAATCTGCTCATTTTAAAGAGACAAACTGTAATGACACCATTTTTCATTAATATTGTTTATTATTATTATACAGCAAATTTTTAAAAGGATGTGACTAATGTACAATTATCCTACATCTATTGTAGAGTAATAAACAAAAAAGTAACATGATGAAAGCAGTGGTAGGAACATAAAACTGTCAATAATTCACAGGGAATATTGTAAGAGTGGAGAATGGAGAAAGGAAGACCAGCTAGAAAGCTACTACAGTAAGCGAGGGAAGAATGGTAAGATCTTGGACCTATGGTGGTGGCAGTAGAGAAGAATCAAGGGACAATGTAGATGGTGACAGAAAAGATTTTTCAAACATCTAGGATGTTCTTTCCACTCAACAGGTAATGATAATCATGAAAAATCATGGAGACAGTAATCTTTAAATCACAGTATGAGTATGACTGATTATGTTGTTGAAATATACATAACAAACTCAAGCAACTAACTGATCATGAACTGCTTTGTAGAGTGAACAAGTTGCTATGGACTTAGGATAAGCCCTTGTGATGAACCTATAATAAATGGCATGTGTCTGACTGTAAGATGTAAGCATATACAAAATCAAAGGTTTTAATTTAAAAAAACTGAAAATGATCACCTATTTCTGATTTTTAGATTGCACATTCCCTACTCCCACAGTGAAAAAAAGAAAATCAAAATAAGAAGGCTTTATATTCTTGGGGAGGGTGGCAGAACAAATGTGGTTGATGATTTCATCGGCCTACAAACAAACAAAGGTGGTCTCTAATCTCCTAGACCTAAATACCACCTCCAAATTCTTCACTTCTGAGGTAGAAGCAACACCTGCCATCTAGACTGAGGTAGTTTTAGGAATTCAAACCATCCTTAGCATTTATTTGGCTCAAGGGACTAAGGGGTGGGCCATTCATATAGTTTCCTGGTGAGCTAAGTACAAAAGTCAGGCAAGGGTGGAACCCCCCCCCCCAGCTATTGTTAGCCAACATGGCCAACATAAAGTCAGGAAAACTGTACAGAAGGTAGATACTATTATCTCCATTTTACAGATGAGGAAACAAAGGCAAACAGAGGAAAAAGTGACTTTCCCAGGATCACACAGCTAGCTAATGAGTGTCTGAGGCTGGATTTGAACTTGGGTCTTCCCAACTGAAGGCCAGGCACTCTCTATTGCATCACCTAGTTGCCATAAAGAACTGTGTCATGTGGATTTTGCTAGACACGTTTATCAGGCAGACACTTGAAAGGATAGTGAGTGGCTCCAATCCCTAGGAGTCCAAACACCTTTCTGGAATTTGAGATACAGACAAATCTCCCAGCCAATTCACCGGACTGGGGTAAAGGAGAGAGAACATCAGTTTAAAAGAAGACATATCACCCTTTCTTGTTCCTGTGAACTGTAATTCTATTTCTGTGACTTTCAATGAGGGGTAGATAGGCTTCTACCCCTCCCCCAGTGTAATCCTCAGAATAGCAGGAAAACAGCATCCATGGAAGGATTCAGCCTAGCATAAAGAAGCAATGCTTAGCCCCCGCATAAGGATAAACCACTCAGGCCCTAGTAGTGACATCACTCAGTCTTGGCATAAGTAGGCAGCACTCAGGTCCAAGCAGTGGCAGTGCTATGGCAGAATTCAGTTCAGCATGGAGTAGTGCTTGACTCTGGCATCAAAACAACCCTCAGACTCCACCAGTGGCAATGTCCATGGCAGAACTTCACCCAGCATAAGGGGTCAGTGCTCAGCACTGACACAAGAGAGGAAGAGTCCTCTGGGCCCTGGCACAGAGGAAGCAGTTTATTTTTAATCACAGAATGATAGGAGAAAGTCATTTTTAAGACCTATCATAAGGAATCAGCAACTGATGCCAGCAAAGGGCGGGAGATGGTGGGTGGGAGGGTGTCGAGTAGCAAGCGATGAAGTAGGAAGCAGGCAGTGGGATAGGAAATGGAATAGGACCTAATTGGGTGAACACTGGCATGAAGAGTAGCAAAGATGACCCTGACCCATGATGAGGAGCAGTGTCTGGCCCAAAGGTATCATCATCTATGCTGTGGCCTTGATGTTACTAGTGCTGTTCCTATTCATTATCCATACTTTACATTGGAATACTGACTGTGAATGGCAAAGATTCAGCATCATCTACCACTTGGACCAAATTTATTATGATTTAAGGCTCAATACATTTGAAGTGGGGAAGCAAAGCCTGATGTCTGATCTTCACTCTCCTTAATAGTGTGCTGTTCTGTCATACCTTCAGAAGGTATGACATATTATTAGTTGTCTTTTTGATATCTTTTTGCTTTTTTGTTTTTATAGTGTTGTCCATGCCAGACTCATTCCTCCAATGTTAAAGACTGTCCAGTAATGTCTCTAAAGCCATTTAAGTGGTGAAAGGTCTTTTAGAAGACCTTGAGGATCTAGTCACCAAGGTATGAGATATGGTAGAGGTGATATCTTCCATACAGGCTAGACTAGTTTTAGGAACTGAAACCATGTTTAGGATTGAATTAGTTGGTTCAGGAGACTAAGGTTCAAGCCAGTGATGTAGCTTTCTGGTAGCCTTAAATACAAAAGCCAGGCAAGGATGCTTTTCTCTCCGGCTGAACCAGGGTACCAATATGACCCACACAATGGCAGGGAAGCTACACTCACTAAAATCAATGCTAAATCCTCACTGAGTATCTTTTCCATGCTATGGCTAAGTCAGTCCCCTTTGGTTAACTATTAGATGATCTATAATTCTGTTGTTTTGTTCCATTTCCAAACCTGAAGCATGAGAACAACCTGAAACTGACCTGGGCTAAGTCCATACTAAATGGCTAGTCAAGAACAATGAAGTTCTAGAACAGTGACTAGCCTGTAGCCTATTACAGTGGACACTTAATATGTGTTTGTTAGATTAAATAAAGCTGCCCTTCTAGCACTGAAGTAATGTTCAAATCTACAGGGTTCTACTATAGCTGGCTATGTGGGAATTTATCATTAAATTCTTCAATAAACATTTATGAACCATCTACTCTGTGCCAGAGACTGTGCTAGGCACTGGGAACATAGTGAGATAGAAAGTGAGATAGTCTCTGCCCTCAAGGAGCTTACATTCTACTAAAGTAAAGAGCCTGTGCACAGATAAGTAAATACAGGATACATACAAAATAAATGCACAATGATTTGAGGGAGAGGGGACTAACTAGGAGAATAAGGAAAAGGCTTCTTGAAGTAGGCAGCCCTTGAACTGAGCCCTGAAAAGAGCTGGGAGTTCCAATATGTAGAAGTGAGGAAGAACATGCATTTTATTAAGCACCTATTATGTTTCAGGAACTGGGCTAAGCACTTTATAAATAGCATCTCATGAAGAACAGACTGTCTAAATGCACAGAAATGAGAGAGAAATGATCATGTCCAGGGAAAAGCACTAGTAGGTGGCACCAGTTTGACTACTGTAGGATAGAAAGTCATGCATAATCAACATGGAAAGACAAGCTGAAGTCAGATTGTGAAGAGCTTTTAAATGATAAATCTTATTATCAAAGGAGCCATTGAAGCTTCTTGAGTAGGGGAATTAAATGATCAGAACAGTACTTTACCAATGTAGCAGCTGTGATAAGGAAAGATAAGAGAAGGAAGAGGCTGTATTCAACAAAAATAATTATGAGGACATTACAATAGTCCAGGAAAAAATAATCAAGGCTGGACTAGCATGTGGTATGAGTAGAAGGAAAGAGACAGATTGAGGGATGCTGAAAAAAGATGCAATCAACAAGACTTGACAAATTATAGCATATGGGGAGTGGATGAGTGAGAGTGAAGAGTGCAAAGGATGATTCCTAGATTACAGAACTGGATTCATGGGAAAATAATGGTGCCCTAAACAGAAAAGTAGGGAAGATAATAGAAGAGGTACATTTAGGAAGAAATATAATGAGTTCTGTTTGGAATATATTGATTTTGAGATACCTATATACTTGGAACATACAGATAAAAATGTCTGTCAGATAGTTGGAGATATTGAACTGGAGCTCAGGCAGAAAGTATAACAGCACAATTTTAAAGCAGTCATAATATAATAAGATAAAGTGGAGGGGTGGTGTTCCTGGAGGAGAGAACAGAAGAAACACTTAAAGGATTCTTTGAGGCACAGCATTAAACAAATATCTATGACAATCAATTGGCCTTCAATATGGCTATCAGAAACTGAGTGATATTGCAGGGGACATAGGGATGGGGGATGGCAAAGATTTAGAAGAAGACTTGCAAATATTAAGCTTTTCAGCCAATGGCTACCACATGTCCACCAATAGTTTGCAAGTACTACTAACAGCAGTATCTTAATATGAGCAATGATACTATATTATAGAACTAAAATATGAGATAAAAGAAATAAAAGTTGACTTCTAAAGCAAGGATAAATGAAAAACAATACTCTACGAAAATGAATACACCAACAATTAGTATACTCACCAGGCTAATAACTACATCAGCAATTTCTATAGAGCCACCAATCCTAAGGTCTAATTCATTTCCATGGCGTATTATTACCTAATTTTTAAGAAAAAGTGAAATGTTATAAGAATGTAATACCATATAGTCAAGATTGTCTTTTAAAAAAAAAGTTATAATGTCTAACACGAAAGAACTCAGGGTACCAGAATACCTTATAAATTTGTCTAATTCATCCTCACATTTTCTTTTGAATTGTTGCTACTTATAATTCATGCCCATGGCTGGGAGCCATAGTCATAGTCAGCTAGCATTTATTAGGCATCTAATAAGTGCCAGACATCTATTCACAAATCAGACAGATCAGAAGGAATTGAAGCACAGAAAATGTAATGTTCCTATAATCACACAGACACTATCCAAAATTAAAATAACTAAGGACTTGTGGAACTACTCTATCCATTTGACTATGCTTCCTTGATAAACTTCACCTTAAAAAAATTATTCAATGTTTTCTTCAAAATTAAACCAAATAAAATATGCAATTTATCATTTTTCTTCCTACTGAAAGAAAATCAATATAATAACGATTTCTTAAAAAGTGTTGCATGTCAAGTCTAGTCAAGTCAACCAGCATGTTGTAAGCATTTAATAGGTGCTAAGTGCTGGTGATACAAAGAAAGCTAAAAACAGTCTTTCCTAAAGAGAAATTTTTGCTTCTTTTAGCCCTTTTGAATACGAAAATTTTCAGAGCAAAAACTCAGAGGCACATAAAAAGCATTTTCTGAATTATCAAAAGATCATAGATCTAGACTTGGAAGTGACCTCAGAAGCCAATCTCCTCATTTTACCAAATACTCCTTCTCTATAGCACTGTCAGCCATAACAGTAAAAGCTCAGGGCTAGGAATACAGATGCAGATCTATGGAAAGTGACCCAACATGAATGTTACTTCATTCATTCAACCTAATCAATTTTATAAGCAAAAAAGGAAATCCAGTTTATTGGAATTATTAAGAAATAGAATGTTATGACTAAATATTCTTCTGATTGAAAGAAATAATTATTTCTCTTTTGTTATTAATAGCTATTTATTGAATCAGGACCAAGGTTTCTCTCCTTTTCTACTTCCTCATCCAGAAATCAACCAGTGTGGGAAATTTTTTCTCAAAGACTTAACTCAGGAAAAGAAACTGTAAATTTGGGCTAATGGGTGGATTCCTGCTCATTGTGTTTACTCATAGAAGTCTGGGAAAATGTGGATTCTCCCCTTTGTCAGGCAGGGGACATTAATAAGTCTCTTTAACCAAGATTTGGGTTCTCAGTGGCACGTACCTCAAGACTCTTGCTGGAATATAATCCATCTCTCATTACAATTTTCATTCTCTAATTAATTGTTAACCAATCAGAGTTGATTGCCACCCTCAGGAATATCCACTCTTCCAAGAGCATATAAACCATGAACTCACCAACACCATGGGTCTTTGGCAGTCAAACGTGCCAATGATCTCTTTTATTAATAACATGGTAGCCTTATTAATAAAATACTAAATTACAAAGAAACTATGTGTCTCAAACTTTTTAAATATCACATGATCAGCTCAATTACCATACAACAAGACTAAACAAGGCTTTTTAGTTATTAAACTACAACACCACACTGAAGGTAAATTTGATCTTTGTCTGATGAGTCTGAAAGGCAGCAAGACATACTAGAAAGAAAAGGAGTCTGAGGAGTTGGACCTGAACCTGATTCACTAGCTTTACAAACACTGGATATGTAACCATGGACAAGGAAGTCACCCCACCTCCCCCACATTCACTTACGTCTGAAAAAATAGAGATTATTATACTTTTACTATGTACTTCATGAGTTTGCTGTGAAGAAAACACTTGGTAAAACTCTAGGCATTATTTCGTTTACAATTTTTAATAGTGTCATGAAATGGTCAGAATCATCACTATGATTTTTCTGTAGATGTTAAAAGCATCAAGTTAGCAGGCTTTGAACTAACCTGATAATATGCATTGAAAGTGGATTGTTTCAATGAAACTGGTAGCAGCTTGTTTGTCATTTGTCTCAGAAAAACACAATATATGAAAAAAAATAGTTACTTGACCTTTTTAATTATTTAGATTCAAATGATTTCCAGTTTAAGCTACATAATAATATTAATTATTATGGAAAGTTGAAGGATACAATTAAGTCAGTTTTTCCTACAGATAGACTAGTCAATCTACTGGTTTAAATTTTTAAAATTCTATTGCTGATTATCATGTTAAAGGTTAGCAATATACTATAACCTTTCACAATTTAATAAAATCAGAATCCGTCATGTTAGAATGTTTTATTAATCTGTTTAATGTACACTTTAAGGGATTTTTTAAAGTCAAGGTAATTTCATTTCCTTTATATAATTATATAATTCCCAGAACATAAGGCAGTAGAATATTTCATGTGAGCTATAAAATGCATTAGACATTAATGTCATACAGATTTTCCCTGCAATTTAATTAGTCATTAAACTACTTAGAATTAACACAAAAGAATAGGGTACTTCACAGAAGAAAGGTCCCTACATTCAAATTTTGTCTTTTTTTGTATCCTCTGAGCTCAGCAAAATGTCTGGAACATAGCAACCACTTAATAAATGCTTGTTGACTGGCTGATTGATTTAAATAATTTTCCTACGGCATCCCTTCAGTACTACTAAAAGGCCATAATATAGTCAGCAGTTGATGGGGAGACGGGGGTCCTAAAACATTTCAAGGGAAATAAAAAATAACAAATTTCTGTTGTTGACAAAAAGTGACTTCTTCCATGAGAAAAGTTTTCAGATACAATAGAAAATGTTTCAGCTGCACCAGACCAAAAAAAAGGTTATATTAAAGATCTATAATCAGCATTCTGTTGCTTCTGCCAGGCTGAAGGAAGCTTATACTATTGTCTCGGGAAGCCTACAAGCCCCTTCCCCACTTCTCACCCCTTCTTTCTTGTCTATCCTCCCCCCCCCACCAGTTCCCCTGAGTTAAGTTTACAAAACCACCAATCCTAAGCATAGACAGCAAAAAACTGTGGTAAATGTCATTTAACTACAATTTCCTCTGAATGTTATTTGCAGTTGCTATGGCTAAGCTTCACAATTTGGGGAGATCACCAGTCAACACTATTTAATATTATTCTGTTGCAATTCTTAAAACTGCTCTCCTCTAAACTCTCAGTATACAAATACCACAAATACTGAAATCAAAACCCCCAAATTCAGCAAAACCATTTTTCCAAAATAATTAAAAATAGCTCCTATGATTCTGTAATAATATTTTAAATGCCACAAATAAAATTCCCATACCTTTGCTTTGGTATCAAATCTCTCTGAAAAATATGGTGTACAAGTGATATGGAGAGGAGTTAAACCCCCTACAGGTATTATGCCATGAGATGGAGTGATCTTAATGAAAGGCAGAAGCTCTTGGTCACAAATCTGAAAGTGGAAATTTGAAAATGTTAACTCATCCCTTCAAGTCACTGTTGGGAGAGTTTTCCAAACTATTATTTACTGGACTACATGAGCCAAGAAAAGCAAACTTACATCATAAATTTTCACTGGCAAACTGCTAAATCTGAATTCTAGTTCTGATAGAGGAATCTTTAGTTAAGAAACATCAATAGTAGTATTTTTAATTTAAAGGAAAACACAGTATATGCATTTGGAAAGGGATATTCAAATTTTACTAGAATTTTAAGGGGCAGGCTTCTAATACACTACTATTTGACAGATGACAAGAACAGAGTAACAGTTTGACATTTGTATTTGTGGAAAGTTAATAGAAAGACTACTGGACTTAAGGCAGAAACTGGACTAGAATTTCTGAAGATAAATATCTGAAATAATTTACATAACTCTCTAAGAATACATTTTGGGTAGAGTAATTTAAAGAGAAATTAACAAAACTTGGAAGAGAAACTGAAGATTGGAGATTTTAAAAGATATCCTGGCAACATATATAAGCATCATTCTCCAAATTGAGTGTAAAAATTTGCACAGAGGATTTTAATTTTGAATGTTATTTACAAGACAAGGATCAAACATAGAAATTTAAGGTATACACTCACCTCTTCACAAACATCTTAGCAGTAATTCAATGGAAGAACAAAAGAAAGATTTTTTTGTTTCACTTATTATAAAAATAAAATATTATAAAAATCATCATAAATATACTACATTTTCAGACATTATCAATCAATAATCAATTTTTTTTGTATTTTACCTACTCACAAATTTATTTTACCCTACATCTAATTGTGTTAAGTGGAGGAGAAAATTATTGTTACATTTCCCCTCTACATTTTTTTTCTTTTATTGACTCAAGAATTGTGATTGTAAAAGAAAGCTTATCTAAGGATTAAGGAATATCAATAGAGTTTTATAGCTAGAAGCAAAACGATTTCACGTAAGATTATAGCAACAATCCTTTATTTGATACATTTTTTAAAATATTTACTCTAAGTCATTTCTTCAATTAGAGAACAAAATGGAGCTAGGGTAAGTACTTTGACCAGCCCAGCATTCAGCGGGGCTTCCCACTGATTAGAATAGAAAGAAAGGCAACCTTCCGCCCAGCCCTTCTCTACCTTAGTCCTGAAGCTCCCTTTCTTTTTCTCCTTTTGTTTCTCTTTCTCCTTTTGTTTTTCTCCCACTCACCTGAATTGAGGTTGCAGGAATGGCCACCATCAGTTTGACTATCAGTGAATTTTGCTTACTCTTACTTAACAAAGCTTAGAAAGGGTCATAAGATAAGAAGTAGTTTGTGTGACAATTACTATACCGCTAACCACCAAGCAGGGAAGTAAATCAAATAAGGCCAAAACCAATGTCCAGGGTTCCTTCCCTTGATACAAAAAAATTGAGCCCTAAACTTACATGCAAACACTACTTTTCAATCATTTTTTTCTTTAGCAAAACCTCTTTCTTACCAATGTTATATATTATGTAAATATGAATATATACATATATACAAATACTTATTAAGGGCCTGTTATGTGCCTGGGCACCATATGAGGAACTGGGGATACAAAGACAAAACAACTAAGGAGACTAAAATGTATTAGAGTATATTGCATGTTCATAGAAAGTTAAATAGAGGTGCAGCTAGGTGGCACAGTGGATAAAGCTCCAGACTTGGAGTTAGGAGGACCTGAGTTCAAATCCGACCTCAGACACTTGACACTTATTAACTGTGTGACCCTGGGCAAGTCACTTAACCCCAATTGCTTCACCAAAAAAAAAAGAAAGAAAGAAAGAAAGTTAAATAGACTATATAAGAAGTAATTGGGGTGAGGAGAGAAAAGGAGGAAGGTGTTCAGCAGCTGGAGGAGTATAACAGGAATCATCTGACCTGAGCTTTGGAGGAAGATGAGGATTCTATGAGGTGAAGGTAGGGAAAAAGTGCATACTGAGCACTAAATACAATTTGTGTAAAAGCATAAAGATGGGAAGTGCAATGTTATGTGCTGGAAACACCTAGCAAGACACTTTGTCTAGAATATAGAGTGTGTGAAGAAAGGCAAAGTTCAATAATCTGGAGCCACATTTCAAGGGGCTAAATATACAAATCTGCATTTCACCCCAGAAGCAAACGGGAGCCACTGGGGAGTATAAAGGAGGAGAGTGGCACAGTCTATGCCTTAGATCATATCATTTTGGCAGCAATTCAGAAGATGGTTTGGAGAGAGAGAGAGATTGGATGCAGGGACTCCAATGAGCAGGTTGCTGCAATAGTCAGACGAGAGGTGATAGGTACCTGAACCAGGGTTTTAGCCATATAAGTGGAGAGAAAAGGATTAACCTAAGTTAAAATTTACAGGTAGCATCAACATGGATATTAGAGGTCAGAGGGAATGAAGAACTGAGGATTATTCCCAAATCTATATCCAGACTAGCCTCAACTGAGATTGTATTTCACATCAGCAACTGTCTGCTAGACATTCTCCACCTAGATGTCCCATAGGCATCTCAGACACAACAAATCTTTTCCTCAAAACTCACTCATCTTTTATACCTTCCTATTTCTGTCAAAGGGGCCACCATCCTTCTGGTCTTCAAAAGTTCAAAACCTCAAAGTCATCTTCAATTTTTCACTCTCTGTCACCCCACATATCAATTGAGTGCCAAATCTAGAGAATTTTATCTTCCTATCTAAACCTTTTCTCTAATCACACCTCACCCTCCCCTCTAGTTTAGACCTTCATCACCTCCCATCTGCACTATTTCAACAATTCCCCAATTTCCCCCTCCCATATATGCTCTACAGCTGCAAAATTGATTTTCCTAAAGCATGGTCTGACCATGTCAATCCATGCTTAGTAAACTCGAGTGTTTCCTCAGTATCTTGAAGACAAAATATAAACTGTTTGTTTAGCATTTAAAGTCCTTCACAACCTAACTCCAACTTATCTTTTGCCCCGTGTTATACATTACACCCTTTCACACACTTGTGGTTCAGCTACACAAGCCTTTTTGCTGTCATTCACAAATAACATCACATCACTCATTTCTTTGCTGTGTGCAAACTATCTCCAGTGCCTGGAACATACTCCTCCTCACCTATCTGTCTTAGAATGATTAGTTTCCTTCAAGAGTCAGATTTAAATGCCTCACATTCTCCATGAGGTCTTTCCTACTCCTCACAACTGCTAGTGCCTAGCCTCCCAAAATCATTTTGAATTCTGCTCATACACATTTTCTTCACTGCTTCATTTTTGTTTCTGTATCTTCAGCGCTTAGCAAAATCTCTGCCATAAAGAAGCTTAATTAATGTTTATTGATTAATTAATTGTTCTGGGAGTAGCATTCAGGAGAGAAATTTGGGTTAGATATAGATCTGGGAGTAACCTGTAGAGAGGCTACATTTGAATCCATGGGAAATGATGTCACCAAGAGAGGGACTATAGAGAGAGAAGACAAGAAAATCAGGACACGGTTCTTGTCTATTAATACATAAGGCATGGAACAACGATGGTGACCTAGAAAAGGTGACCAAGAAGGAACAGCCAGATAGGTAGAAAGAGACCCTGGAGATCAGTGTCACAAAAATCCAGGGAGGACAGGATGTGTAGAAGGAGGGATTGGTCAATAGAATCAAATGGCACAGAGAGTTCACGAAGGACAGGGACTGAGTGAAGTAAAGCTTGGAATGAATAGTTTCACTTGACTAATGAATAATTCAGACAGTTCCTCACCTCACATTTACTTCTTACACTTGCAGTGCTAGAAAGGCTAGTAGTCTAAGAAATCCATGTAAGGTAAGAAAATGAAAACAATAAATTTAGATTGTTTGTTTTTTTTCCCAGGAGACAAGCAATTACATAGAATGGAAAAAAGATGGAGAATGGTACCTTGAAGAAATGTAAGCACAAATGAAGGTTTTTTTAAAGATAGAAGTGATTATCAGGTATGGTATGTACATGCCTATAATCCTGTTACTAGGGAAGGGTGAGGTTGTTGGATTTCTTGTGATCAGGAGTTGTGAGTTGCAGTAGGACAGAAACAAATCAGGTATTCACACTAAATTTAGCACCAATGTTGTGAGCATCTAGAACTGGGAAGCCACCAAGCTACCTAAGGAGAGGCAAACCATACCAAGTCAGAAAAAAGGGAGCATATTAAAGCTTCCATGGAGGTCAGTATTGAGTTTGGGCCCAGTAGTGGTCGCTGTACTTTCATCCTGAGGATAGGGAGACCTAGTTTCAAAAAATGAGAGTAATCTTAGCATTTTTTCAGACATTACAGGAGAAACTAGTGGTAACAGAGAGAGGTTAAAATGTGTAAATAAAGGAAATAATAGAAGGGAAAAACTTCCAAAGGAGGTGGGAAGTGTGGCAACCCACATCACAAATAGAGGTGTTGATGAAATAAGAGGAGACGCCTCTTTCTCCAAGTCTGGAGTAAAGGAGGAGAAAGTTGGGGCTGGGAAGGGAGTTGATAATGTTGAATTGATTTGAAGTATAGAACTAGAGAGAAGGGGGAGATGACAACAAATTGCCTTAATTTTTTTCAGTGGTGAAATCCTCTGAGAATGGAATTGAATAAAAATAAAAATAATAATAATAATTAAACACTTACTATGTTCCAAGCATTATGTTAAGTACTAGGAATACAGATAAAAATGTGAGACATGTCCTCCTCTCAAAGAGTTCATATTTTAACTAGGGGAGACAATACATATAGGAGGGTTCATATGAAAAGCAGACAGAAAGTTCCTACAGTTCTTAAGGTGCAACAGAAGAGTGGAAGAGTGAGTGACAAGGCCCTGCAGTCCTTAGGGAGAAATGGCAGGGCAGATGGATGTAAATTACTAGGGACCAGTAGGGGACTGGAACTGTAGGCATTAAGAAGGGAAGATCTTTGTTGAATCTGAGCAGGATGTGGCTGAGGTATTGAGGAAAGAAGTCCCATGATGGTCTAACATGCTCTGCCCAGAGACAGAGGGGTCAAAGTGGTATAAGTAGCTCGAAAAGAGATGAGAATGTTTGGAACAGAGGCTGAGGGGAATGAGACAGTCAGCTAGAGAAGAGTAAAAAAGTTGCTAATGCAAAAGGAGGACAAATATCAGTTCCACGCAGGTCCCTTTTTTGGGGGTGGGGGGAATAGTGGGGCAGTATAATACCAAAATTTACAACCTTGGAATCCTTGATTCTTTCCTCTTTCACTTTTCCCCCTAAATTTTGTCTCCTGCTAAATTTCCTCAATTCTTCCTCTATCACTTCTTTTGCATACAGATAGTTCTTCTCTCTATTCATATAGCCTATACCAGGGGTGGTTAGAAGGCCATATGTGGCCTTCTAGGTCTTCAAGTATAGCCTTTTGACTGAGTTTAAGTTTTACAGAACAAATCCTTTTATTAAGGGATTTCTTCTGTGAAGTTTGGATTTAGTCAAAGGATTTAGTCACACATGCGACCCTGAGGCCCCAGGTTCCTAATCCCTCCCCTATACCCTCCTTCTGGTTCTCATCATTTCTCACCTGATTAGATTACTTCAATAGCCTTTTAATTGGTTTCCCTGCCTCCAAGTCTCTTCCCTATCCAATCTATCTTTCACACAGCTGCAAAACTCATCTTCCAAAATTGCAGATGTAATCATGTCAACCACCTACTCAGAAGTCTTCAAGGTTTCTCTATTGCCCTGAGGGCAAAATACAAAATCATCATCATTGCTTTTAAAGTTATTCTCAATACAGCATCAGCCTACCTTTCCACACTTATTATAAATTCTCTTTACATTGTATTCTATATTCTGGTCAAACTGTTCTAATAGCCGTTCCCCATCCAAAACATTCTGTCATCTACCTCCATGTCTTTTGCATAAAGCCATAAGAGGTCCTTCACATTTGTAATTTACTATCTCCACCTCATAGAATCACTAAATTCTTTGAAAGCTTTCCTCAGGTACCACCTCCTACCTACATGAAGCCTTTCCTGATATCTCCTTCCTGATATCCTCCTCCTTCCAAATGAAATTACTTTGTATTATTTTGTGTGTACTTTGTATTTATTGATGTACATGTTGTACCCTTCCCTCCTCCTAAACCTAAACTTCTCAAAGGTAGAGATCATTTCATTTTTGTCTTTGCATCTCAAGAGTTCAGATAAGAATGTTGTACAAAATAGGCACTTAATAAATATTTGTTGAACTGAATTGAATTGAATTTGCAGTGATTGACATGGACCACAATTGGGACTAGAAAGGACTTGGAAAGCGTACTTACAAAAAGTTTACTGAGCTCAGGAAAGGCAACTTAGGAAACAATCTAGTAGATCTAAAAAACAGATTTAATCTAAACTAGAGGTTTTCTACTAGCTGGCCTGATGTATTTGTATCTCAAAAGAGTAACATGGCCCATGAGATTATGCGCTGGAAGAGCTGCAACTCCCTTATAGAACTAGAAAAGTTACCAGTAGATGGCAGCAGAGAGTAGCAGCGGACCTCCAGAGAACTGAGTGACCATAGAGGAAGCCTGTAGAGAAGCAGGTCACCCACTGAGGACCAGGAGCAGCCAGCATAGAAAAAACGGTGCACTAGGCAAACACAAGAGCCTGTAGCTTAATAGCATCACCTGAGCAGCAGATGACCTCCGTAACTCTGAGGCAGGCCAGCAGCAAGCAGTGAACAGTATCTGAGACAGAGAAGGGTTCCACCTTGCACCCATTCCTCTTCCTCCCCCCTAAGGGGCGGAATGTTCACACAATTCATTTTTAAGTCTAATCTTCATTATTAACATTTTCTCCACCACTTTATTAAGCCTAGGCAATCCACAAAACAATAAATTAAGATTTGATTTGTAGAGTTTGCTTATTTCCAAGGTGTAAATGAAAACTTAACAATTGGCTGTTTAGTGCTGGCGTGATTTGACTCCAGGATATCTTTGGTTCTTCCTTACTAGAGATATTAAGGCAAAAAATAGAAGGCTACAATTTGTCAGATAGGATTGAGAAGGATTCTTATTTTGGTACCAGTTGGACCAGATGGCCTCTGAAGTTCAGGTCAACTCCAGGGTTCTAGGAATAAGCAAATTCAAACCCAAGGTTCTCCTGATTCTAAGTCCAGCAGTCTTTCATTAAAAGAAACTTGTTAAGCATAAACTTCATAGAACTCATGTAAACTTTTTAAATTAACTGTAATCTGCCCCAAACCCAGTGGAAAAAAAATAAGACCAATAATCCTACCTTAAAGCAAAATTATTAAGGTCAGTAAGATAACTTACCTTGAAGTAAGCATGATGTAGACCAACATTTTGAAGAACTGTTTTCTTCAATGTTGTTAAACCTTGAGGGCAATTCTCAAAGAGCACATGATGAGCCAATAGCACAACTTTGGCAGGACCAATCTAATCATTACATGAGGTAAATAAGGAGAGGGGGAAAGCATATAAGTTACTTTCAATAAATACAGTATCAATATTAATCAGGCTTTTTCCCCAAAAAATAATCATAATACATTAATAGATGATACACACTAACACAAAGTTATGACTTTGAAAACAAAGATTGAAACCAAACCAGTTGGGAGGCAGTATGGTACAAGGCAGAATGTGCCACATTTGTAATCAAAAGACCTATGTTCAAAGCCTAGCTCTGACACTTAGGACCTGTGTGATTTTTAGCAAATCACTTCACCTCTTAAGGGCTTATCTGTGAAATGAGAGGGTTACACAAGATGACTTCTGTGGTCCCTTTCAGCTCTAAACCTACAATCCTATGATCCATATTCTTGCTTGAAAATACACTATCTGACATACAATTCATTTATAAGAATACCAAGACCCAGAAATGTTAAATGACTTGCCCAAAGCCATAAAGATAGCAAGTGGCAAAGCCAAGACTCAAACCTGGCTTCTCTGACTCTAAATCTAGCATTCGTTCTACTACACCATGGTACCTCTTGGATCTGCTGTTTTATTTCCGTTTGAAAATTAGTCATATTATCTTCTTTGAAAACATTTAACTATGATAGCTAAGATTTACATAGCACTTTGATGTTTGCAGACTGCTTTACATGCATTTCATTTGATCCTTACAACCTTACTGTGAGGTAGGTTTTATAGGCATTATTATCCCCATTTTACAGAAGAGTTAAGTGGAAGTTAAGTGATCATTCCAGAGTGACATAGCTGGTTATAGTATGGCAACAAGATTTGAACCCAGATGTCTCCAAATTCAAAGTTCTTTTCACTGTACTACAGTAACGCCTCTTCAGTTTAAGTTGAATTTGTGGTTAGAAAAGTTTAGAGTATCATCAGAAAGAAATTTTAATGTAATTAATTATTTTACAAGTGGTACTACAAATCCCTACAAATGCATATCAGTAACCATGATTTTAATCTTATTGTAGCAACCAATGTTCCCCTTTTAAGATCAAGATGACACCCCACACTTGGGCAAATTCTCCACTTTGGGGGAAGAACAGAGAGAGAATAGCACTAATAAATTACCATTATTTTCTGAAATAAATTGATTTTGTTATATTTCATTTTGGTTAAAAGATAAATGTAAATTTATAGCATTACATTACATATTATAAAATGAATTTTTAATAAAAAAAGAGGAAGAAGAGAAAATATAAGCAAAAATAATCAATATGTGTGGAGGGGGGAATCTGATAATAGGAGTAATGTTCTACACTTGTGTACCCCTCACCTCTACAAAAGAGTCAAGGAAGATGTCTTCCAATGGCTTCTTTGGGGTCAAGCTTGTTCTTTACAATTTTGCAACGTTAGTTTCATTACAATTGTAGTTTTTTCCATTTACATTTTTATGGTCAATGTGTACATCATTTTCTTGCCTCTGCTTACATCACATTGAGTCAGTTCATATAACTCTATCCATGGTTCTCTGTATTCATAGTATTCACCATTTTTACAGCACAGTCATATTCTGTTATATTCATATCCCACAGTTTGCTTAGGCATTCTCCAGTAGATGAGCATCTTCCTTATTTCCAGTACTTTGCTACCATAAAAGTGGTGCTATGAATATTTTGGTACATATGACCTCCTTGGTATATACATCTAAAGTGGAAACTCTGAGTCAAAGGGTATAGACATTTTATGCATTTTATTTGAACAATTCCAAGTTGCTTTCCAAAATGATTGAACTAATTCACAGCTCTGCCAACAATGTGTATCTAACAAGATAACTGGAAACAGGAATTAAAGAATGGTTAGAGTATATGCATGTAATAGAATATGACTGTTCTGTAAGAAAAGATAAAACATTACAGATTGAGAAAAACTTGAAAAGGCTTGTATTAAACTGATCCAAAGTAAAGTGAGAAGAACCAAAAGAACAACTTATATGTTGACTACAACATTATAAATGACAACAACTTTGAAAGACTTAAGAACTCTGATAGAAACAATGACCAATCACAAATTCAGAAGACTGAAGATGAAACATACATCTCATCTCTTGGCAGAGATGTCAAGTCAACAAGCACCTACTATGTGCCAGGTACAGTGAAAAAAACAACCCCTACCCTCAAGCTCACAGTCTAATGAGGGAGACAACATGCAAACAACTATATATAAACAAAATATAGACAAAATAAATAATCTCAGAGAGAGAAATTAAAGGGAACTGGGAAAGACTTCTTGAAGAAGGTGGGATTTTAACAGAGACCTGAAGGAAGACAAGGAAGCCAAGAGACAGAGATGAGGAAGGAGAGTAGTCCAAATGTGAAGAACAGTCAGTGAAGAAACAGAGTCTGGAGATGTCTTGTTGAAAAAATTGAAGAGAGACAAAAGTCACTGGATCAGTGAATATTTGAAGGGAAGTAAGGCATGAGAAGACTGGGATGATAAGAAGAGGTAAGGTTATGAAAGGCTTTAAAAGACAAACAGAGAATGTTATATTTGATTCTGGAAGCAATAGGGAGCCACTGAAGTTTATTAAGTGGGGGCAAAGGGGCTGGGAGAGGGTGTGACATAGTCAAACCTATGCTTTAGGAAGATTACTTTGGCAGGTAAGTGGAGGATAGACTGGAATAGGGAGAGATTTGAGGCAGGAAGACCAATCAGAAAGTTATTAAAATAGTTGGGTATGAGTTCATGGGAGCCTGGACAGGAGTGGTGGTAGTGTCATAGGAGAAATGGAGTAATGGAAGAGAGATGATGCGAAGGTAGAATAGTCAGAACTAAGCAATAGATTATATATAGGCAAGGGGAGAAGAGAATGAGGAGTCAAGAATGATGCCTAGGTTGCAAATTTGGGTGATTGCGAAGATGGTGGTGCCCCAGAAAGTAACAGGAAACTTAGGAAGAGGGGAAAGTTGGAGAAAAGATAAGTTCAGTTTTTGATAAGTTGAGTTTACTATGTCTATGGGACATACATTTCAAGATGTCCAATAGGCAGTTAGAGATGTCAGATTAGAGACTAGGAGAGGTTAGTGCTAGATAAATAGATCTGAGAATTATTTACATAGAAATGATAATTATCATACATTGGAAGGTATGGACTGTAATTATAGAACAAGACATACATTTTCAGAAATGAACAATATGATGCAAATTTGGAGGGTGACGAGTTATTTGTTACAAGATGGGAGCTTAATATGAAAAGGAAAGCATCAGGGAAAGGGGAGTGATGGGTAGAGATAGAGATGCAGAAAAAGAATGAAAGATAGAACATTAATGAAAACTTTTTTTAAATATCCAGAAGAGAGCAGAAGGAAGTTCTAAAGGAGGCACAGACAAGAAGGGCAATGTTTGATATGGGACTACCATGTTAAATTTGATATATACTTTTAAAAAACTGAACATGGTAGGTTCTAAGCTTGGCTTTCACGTGCAATCATCTCCTCTTTTTCTGTCTTTTGTATATAGAAATGCTCATATCTATTGAAAACTACTAAGTTCATAAGAAAAAAATTATCTAGAAGAAAGGTTAAGTGATTGAAAGATTCCCAGTGCATAACTATATACTAGAGTAGTAGAAATAACACTAGTACCCAAGTCTCTTGAACTTAAATTCAGAGCTCCCTCCATGACATTATTGTTCCATATGATCAGGCTGGTCCTTGTTTGACAGATATACAATCCATCACTGAGTTAACATTCAAAGCATTTCCAGCTTCATAGGATCTGCCAGAGCTTGTATGTCATTGACATCATCTTTACAACATGGTGAAGCACTGAACTAAAGTGTTTTGTGTACATAGTTATATTTTCATTATAGATGCATATTGTGTCTGGGAATGTGTAACAGGATTCTGGACATCATTGCCCAGTATTTATCTACTGAGTCTGAGAGGGCTTATTTAGCATTTCTGTATTCTTAAGGGCATGTAAAAAGGAAGAGAGCTCTCTAAAGAGATGCTAACTTCAGAGAGGCTGAAGTTGAGGTAGTCCACCAGCCTGCTTCTGAAAATGTGGCCACCTTCTGCCCATATTGACAGCAAGACACTAGCAAGATGAAAAGGGAAGATTGTAAGTTAACTATGAAGCAGTTGATGAGTAATGTGACCAGAGCTGTGCATACCTATTGCCAAGGATAAAACTGATGGCATCCAAACATTCTTTCATTTTCATTCCTGCCCTCTCTGGGAGAGCACTGAAGCATATTCCTAATCTGTTCTTCAAGAGTCTGTTGGGTTTCTGGGGTGAGTTTTTATTTTGTTTTTCATCGATTGGTTTTTTTATGTTTTAAACATTTTCTTGTAAAGAAACCAGTTTCCCCAAATTAATGTGTCTCTCCAGTATATTGCTGGCTTGTATGTGTGCCCTATGGTATTAACTGCAATTAAAGGACAGTTAATTATTTAAGAAGATTTCTAAAAGAAGAGGAGAAGTGTGACTAGAGCTGGAAGGTATTCACTAGAACAATATGGGAACCCATAAAGCATATTTTGGTCTGTTTTATAAGTCCTAAACATCTGAGAAAAAGATTTGGGAATTCAAAACAAATGAAGATAGGCACAGCCTGAGCTTAAAGTAGCCTAAGTACGGAAAAAAAGGAAGAAAGAGTTAGAGTCTCACTCTTCTGAGACAAACTCCCTCAGGTACTTTCCCTACTTTTGTTCCTCTCAGGACTGTTTAATGAAACTCCTCTCCTGAAGAGGACTAAAGAAAAAACAATGCATGATGTGAGTAGTTGGGAATCAATCAATCAATAAACATTTGTCGTCTACTATGTGCAGGCACTATGCTAAGTTGTGGGGATACAAAAAGAGGCAAAAGACAGTCCCTGTCCTCAAGAAGCTTACAATGTAGTGGGGGAGACATCATAGAAACAAATATACATAAAGCAAGCTATATGCAGGATAAATTGAAAATGATTAACAGAAGGAAGGCATTAGAATTAAAAGTTTTAAAAAGGCTTCCAGTAAAAGATGAGATTTTAGTTGGGACTGAAAGGAATCCAGGGAATTCAGTAGGTACAGTAGAGGAGGGAGAGTGTTCCAGGCATGGAGGACAGCCAGAAAAAATTCCCAGAGGCAACATATGGAGTCACTGAATTGACGAGTGTGTGATAGGGAGAGAGATTTAAGAAGACTGGTAGGAGGTGGCATTTTGTATATTATCCTGGAGGTAATAAGGAATCGCTGTAGATTGTTGAGTAGGGGGTGACATGATTGGGCTTGTGCTGGGAATGACAATTACACATAGGCATGTGAACCAGTGAGTAACAAGTCTACTAAGAATAAGCACCTACTACAACCCACACAAAAGGTAGGTACATCAACAAAAAGACATTACCTTCACTGCACAGTCTAGCCTCACTGTGTTTCCATCATACACTTCAAGGTTGAAGTGGCCTCTTTCTGGAGATCTGTAACTCGGTTGCCAACTCACTTCACAATCCAGTGCTGAGTATCCTTCTACAGTACCTGCACAAGTACAGTATAAAAAGATAATGAGCCATCAATCGCAACTTTTGTTTTCTTATTTTAGTTTTAATACTAAAATCCACAGGATTTCCAGAGTTGGAAAAGAGATGAGCATGCCAACGTGTAGGTGTTCTCCTTCGTAATCGAAGAGGAGCAAAATGACATCACTATGTCAGGTCAATGTATAATGTGTCCACCTGTGGCTGAGTAGAGCAATATGAGCTCCAAAGGTTCTATCACAGCTCAAGCACAAATAGTCCATATGAACATTTGCACATCTTGTGTCTTTTAAGCTATGGCACTTCTGTTTTGCTCAAAGAGCACAGCACTGTGCACAGCACAACACACTGTGGCCAGTGTCTCCCAATTGATTCCAAAGTTCTTGAGAGAGACCTTGGGAGTGTCCTTATATTGCTTCTTCTGACTTCTATATGAGCATGTGTCATGTGTGAGTTCTCCATAAAATAGTGTCTTTAGGCAAACATATGTTCGGCATTCAAACAAGTGGTCAGCCCTTCTGAGTTGCACTCTGCAGTGCAGTTTGGATGCTTGACAGTTCAGCTCAAGAAAGGACCTTAGTCTCCAGTACCTTATCTTGCAAGTGATCTTCAAAATCTTCAAAATTCAAATGGAAGAATTCAGTTTCCTGGCATGGCACTGGTAGACTGTTCAGGTTTCACAGGCATACAACAATGAAATCAGCACAATGGCTCTTTCAGTTTGGTAGGCAGCTTAATCCCTCCTGTCTCCTACACTTTCCTTCAGAGCCTCCCAAACACTGATCTAGCTCTGTCAATGAGTGCATCAACCTTACCCTCCGTGTGTACATCTCTAGAAAGTATACTGCCAAGGTAAGTGAACTTATCCACAGCATTCAAAATTTCTCCATTTACTATAACTGATGGTTCCACACATGATGGTACAGTGTTGGCTGGTGAAGAACCTCCGTTTTCTTGGGGTTAATTGTCAGACCAAAAGTAGCGCAAGCAACAGAGAGATCCACACTCTGTTGTATCTCAATCTTAGAGGTTGAACTGAATCATCTTAGAACAAAACAATCACATACCAACTCTCCTTTCACTTTAATCTTGGCTTGCATCCTTTTCAAATTAAATAATTTACCATCAGTGCAGTAGTGGACCTTGATGCTATTTTTGTCCTTGTTGAAAGGACCTGACAACATCACTAAAGACATCATGCTAAAAAGCATGGAAGCAAGCACACGCCTTGCTTCACTTCTTTTGTGATTGGGAAAGTGGGAGAGCATCGTCTATTATCCAGAACCCATACAAGTATACTATCATGGAACTGGTATATGATACTGATTAACTTCTCCAGGAAACCAAATTTTGCCATGATCTTCCACAAGCCCTCACAAGGCCTCAAAGGCCTTGGTCAGATCAATAAACATTGCGTACAGAACTCTGTTCAGCTCCTGGCATTTTTCCTAGAGTTGTCAGGCAGCAAACACCGTATTAACCATTCCTTAGCCCTTTTCCTGAAGCCACACTGGCTCTTGGGTAGATGACCATCTTCCAGATGAAGGATCAACCTATTAAGGAGTTGGCAACTCTAGCAAGAATCTTGCTGGCAATCACTAAGACAGAGAGATCCCCCTTTGATTGTCACAGGACAACCTATTTCCTTTTCCTTTATAGAGATGGACAATGGAAGCACCTGCGGGATAAATTCCTCTTGTCATATAACCCAGAAGATTTCAACCAGTGTGTGAGCAGTGGACTCCCTGCCTCGTAAATCTCTGCTGAGATAGAATCAGCACCAGGCACTTTGCTACATGAGAGGAGCCTAATGGCATTCAAAACCTCTTCTTCAGTTGGAAGTTTGACTAGAGAGGGATTGACTTCAACCTGAGGTATAAAGTCAATGGCTTCAGAGTTAGTTGACAATGGTCTTTTGAAAACATTGTAGAAGTGTTCGTCACATCTCTCCAGGATCATGTCCTTATTACTTATCAATGTGGCTCTATCAATGCTGAGTAGTTGAGATGCACCATAGGTCTTTGGCTCAGGGCATCATAAAAGTGCTTTGGATTGTTATCATCAACATAAAACTGAATTTCATCTGTTTTCTTACTGAGAATCCTGCATCTCTCTAAGCTTCACTTGGACTTTACTTTTGATAGAGTTAAAGGCTGCCTCCTTAGAGATGGATAAAGTATTCTGCTGGTAAACTCTGTGCAGTTCTCATTTTTCATTTAGTAACTTCTGAATTTCCCCATCATTTCTATCAAACAAATCCTGATGTTTGTAAGTGTTCTGGCCCAGATGAGTAAATGCTGTGCTATACAACAAATCTCTAAAAGCTGCCCACTTTTTTTGTTCCATTTTTGCCAACCATATGTTGGCTCAGCTTTCCCTCCAAGTTAGCAACAAACTGTTCATGCATGAAGTGGTGTTCTAATCTACTGACATTAAGTTTTCTAGTGGTCATCTTGCCCTGGGGCTGCCACTTTGTTGAATATGAATGTTTAGCTTAGAGAGGATAAGTCTATGATCAATCTAGCACTCTGTGCCACACACTGCTTTCATCACTCTCACATCTTGTCTGTCTCTTCTCTTTACAATGACATAGCCAATGCTTGATGCAAGGGTGAATCCATAAAGTATTATTCCTTTAGTTAAACATAGGGCATCATTTGGTGTCCACCAGCTACCAAATTCTTACCTGTGGCTCCAAGAAGCTATAGCATGCTCAAGAAAAGACCTCAGTCTCCAATACTTATCTTGCAGGTGATGAGGTCATGAGATGCACAAGTCTTCAGTAGTAAGTGACCATGGTTATTTCTATTTCTGATTCCATTTCTTCTAAAGACATGTCTAATGGTCTGTGCTTACTCTGCCATTAAAGTCACCCAGAATTATAAGCTTGTCCTCATTTGCCATATTGATCATGAGGGTCTCCAAATCTTCATAAAACTTTTCTTTGGCCTCATCAGGATTCATCATGGTAACAGCATACTCATTGATAGTGGTGGCATGGCACTTTCCTGCACATGACAATTGCACTGTCACGAGCCTGATGTTCATTCCTTTTGGGAGGCATACAAGCCTGTTGTAGATTTGATTAGATTTGACAAGCTAGATTAGATTTGACTGCAAAACCTACAACCAGATGCATGGCCCCATCACTGTGATCACTCCAAAAAAAAGTGTATCCAACTTCAGTCAGTTGGTCTTCATTTACCACCTTTGTTTCACTCAGGACTGCTATTTGAATGTGATACTGAGTTCTCTCACTACGAGAGCTGTCTACTGGATTTCACATGCTCACATTCTATGTACCAATGGCGAGGGGAGTCATCTTTACAAAAGTTTTTTATAGTTTTTTTTTGTGTTTCAACCACAAGGTAAGATAACCACCTGCTGCAGTAAGCAGGTCAGGATTGGTTAGGTGAAGCAGAAAATTTTTAGAACACCTTTCCTTGCCCCTTCCACAATCTTTAAAAAAATGCTACACAGACATCCAACAGGCTGCCTAATCCCACTGCTGCTTCAGTCCAGTAAAAAGATGTCCCTATGACCTGGGCTGCCTGTGTGAAGGGTTGTGATTACAGCTCCCAGTTTATCCACACCTGCTGCTTCATCACTTGCCCATCACTACAGAACTTTAAGGTAGATAAAAATGGCAAAATGGTATGGGTGATGTCTTTGAACTCAAACATAAATTGGATTTAAGTGAAGCAGAGTTGTGTGAAGTCATCGGCTTCTCTCTCTTTTCTAGAGTCATCAAAATTCAGTGGCAAGTTAAAAGTCAAGACAATTGACAATGGCTTGGGATGCAGTGGATGACCTTGGTGTTGCTGATGTTTAACCAGGCTCTAAGTGCTCCACAGTGCCTGCTTCCATTGCCTTTGTGGTCCATTGGAACAAATTGTTTACATCTCCTATTCTGCTGAGGAAGTCTTCACATGCTTGGGGTAGATACCCTTCTAACTCACGGATGGGTTTGAGGCCCCTTCAAACCAGGTTACCCTCAACCTGGTTTAGCCTGTCTGCCAAAATGGTTTTACTGGAGTGTGGCTGCTGAACATGCTATAGCTTCTTGGAGCCATAGATAAGAATTGGGTAGCAAGTGGACACCAAAGGTGGAAAGTAGCTCACAAAAAGGCTCAGCAGTCATTACACCAGAGGCTAAGGGTCTTCCCTGAACATCCCATAAACTCCAGCATGCCACTTATACTTTTATCCAAATGCTGGGGGAGGGGGGGAGGAGAATGTTAATTACCGAGAGACAACATGGTACATTAGGTAGAGAGCTATCTTGGAGTCAAGGAGACCCAGGTTGAAATCTCATTTCTGACATGTTCCTAGTCTGAGATCCTGGGCAAGTCCTTAATTTTTCAGTACTCCCAGATGTAGTCAAAAGAAAAAAATTTAAAAACACGGGGCCAAGCAAAGATCACTAAAGCACAACTCTAGCAATCTCCCTCTACCTTAACATGGGGGGTTACCACCCTATTTCCAGTCAATCAACTGGTTACAAATACACCTGACTATACTATGACATAGTCCCTATGTCCCACCTTGTCCACAAGAAATCTTCCAAGTGCTTTGCTGATATCTAGCTATACAATGTCTATGGTACTCCCTTTGTCCACTATTAATTTAGTAATCCTTTCAAAACAGGAAAGAAGATTTGCCTAAGGACTGTAGCATAACCTTTTGTGTGTGTGTGTGATTTTAGTGAGTACTGCTTCCCTTTCTAAATGCTAACAAATACTTCTTTAATAATGTGTCCTAGAATTTTGCCAGAATCAAAATCAAGTGCATTAAGGATAAGATGAAAAAAGCCAATTAACAGAACACTGAGGAAGGGCACAAAAGACAAATTTGGACAGCTATCATCCTTAATTGATATTTGTCTCATCAAAACTGAGATTGGCAAATGACTAATCTCATTCAGAGATTCATTACCAAAGTTTAGCTGTAACCTACATAGGTTCCCAAAGTCAGTGATACCACCCCTTAAGGGCGCTGGAATGATGGGGAGGAGGCAGTAGTAACCTCGGGTGCAATTGGGGGATATTGAATAAAAATAAGGGGGTGGTGGAAGCATAAGGAAAGAAGAGAGGAAAATTTTGATAAACCATTCAAATATCGTTTCATCTATTGTATGAGTTAAATTACACTATTTTCCAAATAAACACACAAAATACACATTATAACCAATCAGTGGTCAAGTCCACCAGTAGGTCTTAACAAGCAAGTGTTGGCAAGCAAGTATGTTGTGCATTGTCAGGAAGTCCAGCATGAATATGTGTGTATAATGGCTTGTTTGTGATACAATAGTATACCATTACATGACACAATATTTCAATACAGGGGAAAAAACCACAAATTTAAAATAAATTATTAAATTTAATATGTGTCATTTTTAAAAAAATATTTTATATTTTTTGAAATGATGCGAATTTTTTAAAAACCATTAAAGGGTTAAAGAAAGTAGATTTCTGGGGGGGGTGCTGAATAATTTTTTAAAAGGGTCGATAGGTCAAATAAGTTTGGGAACCTTTGGTAACATAGATGCAATTAAATACAGAAACTTTCTAATAAGGAATCAGAGAGTCTAAGGCAGGGAGAAGACTGGAAGACTAAAAGCTCTCCCAGATTTTAAACTTGAGGATAAGTAGAATGATTTATTTTTCTTTACATCTTTCTTGGGGCCTTGAAGAGAGTTTTGTACTAAATAATAAATAAAATGTACTTAGGCACTGATGAACTTAATAAAGATAATTTAAGTTAAGTACCTAGAGTGTCAAAAGATTACAAAATTCTCTAAATGTTATTGCTTTAAGAAAAGGAGGTTTTTCTCAAGATTCAATGACAAATCTGCACTAAATTCATAATTTTGTTTAGTGAAATTCCATTAAATCAGTATCATCTATAATGAGCATAATGAAAATTAAGTCTATAGAAAAAAGGACCCTAATTTTAAGATGGAAATATTATAACATGAGTTCTAAATCAACTCATGGTTAAACAAACTCATGGTTAGCAATATAGTCATATACTTTAATATTATGAGTCTTCAAACAAATAAACAAAAATAAAGCACACTCTACCTTTAGCTGGACATATAGAAAATGCAATCCCATTATTTAGGATCAATGGTTGCCATTTAAATCTAGCTGCACAGTTTCGGGGATTATATAATCTGACTGTCCCCCTATATCCTGTTTTCACCAAGAAGCCTCGAGTAGGTTTTAGAACCAGTTCTTTAGTTGATAACTCAAGAGCCACGGGCATCACTACTGCCTTCACTAGGATATTTCCACCAGGAATGCTGTTTATTGTGAAACTGAAAGACCTATAATATATGAAAAAAAATTCCCATAATGCATGTATTATTTTACTATTGAGATTCAATTATACACATAATGACATATAACAATGAGCTCCATAATAAATTATTTAATAGATAATATTCCTAGAGTTACTCATGAAAGCAAAATATTTGCATTAAAAGTACCATTGAAATACTATATAAAAAAAGGTATCATATATCTTGCTTTCTCAATGGTTAGGGAAGGGGTGGAGAGGAGAGAATTTGGAACTGAAAAATCAAGATTTTAAAATAATAGTATACAAAAGAATCACAAAAACATACACATATAGACATCTGCAAAGATAGATAGATAAATATAGATCAAATTAAAATCTCCTAATTTTAGAATCAAAAACATTTGACCAAATAAATCAAGAAGCAAAAAGGCATCTTACTTCCAAAACGACCCCAGGGTGGTCGTCTCAAACACTATTGGAATGCATATATTTGATGCAGGTGGAACCACAAAAGACAATGGATTCGTCCTCTTTAGTTCTTCATGCTCAATTTCTAACCGCACCAAAACATGCAGTGGCAGATTATTGATAACACGCACTTGTTTAGCACATACATAATTCACACAGATCTCACCAAAGTCAAGGACAGATGGACCTGAAAGAAGGGAGGAAAATGATAAAATGTCATTTTTTGATTGCGTGAAATAAATGCAAGCAAATCTGATCATCTGATCTCTCTGTTTTTCACTTTAAGGTTGTATCTCTTCTAGTTTTTAAAAGACTAAAAATAATTGTTGTCATAACAGGAATATTAAGTGCAAAATTTTTATCCACTAAAATAACTTCATAATTAAATACTAATTACTAAGATGCATTAATTAAACAAGTAATGGGACAAGAATAGTCAAGATCTGGGATTTTATTGGGATTCCCCCTTTGGGGAAATTCTCTCCCCTACTGCAGATCATAACTTAAAGGCTTAGAAAGTAGTCTCTGAGCACTAAAAGGCCAGGAATAGCAAAGGCAATATGTATCAGAAGAAAGACTTGAACCTAGGTCTTCCTAACTCTAGGACCAGCCCTTTCTATCCAAAAATTATTGAATAGGCATTGCCTCAGAACAACTGAGATCTGGGAAAGACCTTAGCTTAAAAAGTCAAGGTCTCCCAGTACATCAAGGGCCATTTCCAGTTGTCTTGACTTATGTTTTGTCACTGGATTCCAATGACTTTGGAGGAGAGAATGAGACTGATGACTTTATATAGCTCTGCCTCCCTTAAATCCAAATCACTTGCAAGTCAAGACATCACCCTCCTGATGTCATTGGTCCTCTTTGAGAATGAAAGACAAACAACTATGCCATGATGCTTCATATGCAAGATATATAAACAAATAAATATTAACCATATAAACAATTTGGTGATAAAGAGTGGTAAAAAGGAGGATTTTGTATATTGAACATTAAAACACCAATTTGTACTACCAACATTTAGACTGCCATCCATCCTTTTTTTTGGTGCAATTCACCACTGTTAGAAGCTCTCAGTGAGGAAACTTCTTTCACCGATCTATTATTAACTGGTAGTATTAGACAGATAGTCTGTCGATGTACCAAGTGTTGCATATGCCACAGGAAAACATCATTTTCTAAACATGTATCTAGTAATGCTTCATTGATTCAGCATTTTCTTTTTTTTCTTTTTTTTTTAAATATGGTTAGGCAATGGGGTTAAGGGATTTGCCCAGGGTCACACAGCTAGTAAGTGTTAAGTGACTGAGGCCAGATTTGAACTCAGATCCTCCTGAATCCAGGGCCAGTGCTCTATCCACTGTACCACCTAGCTGCCTCGATTCAGCATTTTCAATGAAAATTTTCCAAATGTAATTCCCTAGTGTGATGCTCTATCTCAGATTGTATATCAGCTCCTTTAGAGTAAAGACTGCTTGTTATCTTTGTATCCCCAGTACCTAGTATAGTGTCTCTCACATATAGGTACTTAATCAGAACATCACAGATTTAGAGCTAGGACTAACCCATGTGGTCCAACCCCCTTATTTTACAGAAGAGGAAACTAAAGCCCGGAAAATTTAAATGACTTGCACAAAGTCACAAAGGTAGTAAGGAAGAGCTGGAATCCAAATCCAGGTCTTTTGATTCCAAATTCAGTGCCCTTTCTACTGCACCATGATGCATCCCTAATAAATGTTTGTTGATGAATACATCAATTTTTCAGATAACTAAAGCTTACAAGCAGTAGTATATTGATAAGTGTTTAATAAATGACTCCTAAAAAATGCAAATGCAGGACACACTCCTAAGTTTAATTTACACTATTAGCATTTTTCCCATCACTTTCTTAAGTCTGTACATCCAACAAAATGATAAAGCCCTCATGGCCAATTTTGAGGCATAAGTGATTGCACTGAAAATTTACCAGTGGCTCATATGAGTCATTCAAGCTGGTTCCGGCACACTCCTAAATACAGCTTTAAGCATTAAAACTTTATTTTTATTTTCACCATTCCTAAAATGTATTATACATTCCCCTGCCTGCTGAAGTAACACACATTGAAAATTATTTAACCTGCTCTTGATGACTGTATATCATCATCATGGACATTAATTTTTCTATTAAGTTTTAATATAGTGATACCTACTTATCATAAGCTAAATACCCCAATGTAGTGGTGCCTGTTTTCTTACTTGTTTTTAATATTTTTTCTGTCCCATTCTTCACTTTTGACTATCATTTCTTGGCACTGTCAGCACGTCTGTCTCTGACAGCAGCCAGTCTTTCAGTTCTCTTTATTGCAGTAAAAGACCACATAACAAAAGATTTTTTTCCCTTTAATTATGTGTAAAATATGATTAATTAGATTTTAGTTAGGTCACAAAGGGCTCTCCATTAAGTAAAGTGTTTGTTATGTTATTATGTTATATGTTATGTTATATGTATATATTATATGTTATATTATTATATTTAATATATTTATATTATACATATATTAAAGTGTTATTATATGGACATTAAGATCTCCATTTTGCTGTTGAGAAGGTTTCTTACTTATTTTCTTAACACTTTCTGGAAAGATTACCTCTGAAAAGGTAAATCTCCAGAAAGTGCTTCTACTATACCATATACACTAAGATTCCTATGTAATACAGTTTGCCTAGAAGGGAGCTGTTAATTCCAGTCCTGGATCAATTTTATTAAAGGGGTTCTACTATAGTAACCAAAGTCTTATTACACTCTGAAAATAAAGTGCTTTATTTTATCAATGTCTACGATGCTGGTTGAATCAAGTTAATTTAATAAAGAAATATTGTGGAGGGGGCAGAGCCAAGATGGCAGAGTAAAAGCAGTGACTTGCTTGAGCTCTTCCCTAAACCCCTCCAAATACCTGTAAAAAAATTGTCTCTAAAGAAATTCTAGAGCAGCAGAACCCACAAAAAGACAGAATGAAACAAATTTCCAGCCCAAGACAACCTGGATGGTTGATGGGAAAGGTCTGCTATGCCTGGCTGGGAGAAGAGCACAGTTCAGTGTGGGCCAGGCAGACAAAGACAGAGGAGGCCACAGGGGACTGAATCACAGACAGCTGTGGTGGTGTCTAGACTTCTCAAACCATAAATGCCAAAGACGACTTAGAAGGTCAGTAGGAAAAGTCTGTGACTTTGGTGAGAGAGGAGCTCGGTCAGGCGCCAGTCTCAGTGCATCCCAGGGTGGTAGCTGCTTCTGGAGTTCTGGGCCCACAGATGGTGGGGAGGGATCTAGCAGTTGATCAGAGGGGGATTGCAGAGATCTCTTTGCTGGTGCTAAGGCAGGATGCTCTTGCTTTGCCCATGCTTGGATCTGGGTTGCAGTCCTGGGTGGTGATCCTGGAGTTAAGCAGAGTGCTAGTGTGGTAGAGCTTGTGGCGACTGTGTAGAGGGAATCCTCCTCATAGTTCCAAGGCAGAAAAGAGTGCTTGTGGTCACTCATAGACCAGAGCACAGGCCAGGAAAGGAGTAAACACCTCTCCTTTGACCATACAACCTTGGAAGAACTGAAAACTTACAGGTCCCTAGAAGTATCTCTGAAAACAGCTGCACAAAACCCCTGAAGCTTGGGACAGTACATCCTCCACCCTGGAAGCAGAGCCTACCTTAACAAAGAGTTTAAAAATCAAGTAATTGGGCGGGAAACTGAGCAAACAGCGGAAAAATACTGAGACTATAGAATCTTAGTTTGGTGATAAAGAAGATCAAAACATACAACCAGAAGAAGACAACAAAATCAAAACTCCTACAACCAAAGCCTCCTAGAAAAGTATAAATTGGTCTCAGGCCATGGAAGAGCTCAAAAAGGATGTTGAAAAGCAAGAAAGAGAAGTAGAAGAAAAATTGGGAAGAGAAATGAGAGTGATGCAAGAAAATCATGAAAAACAAGTCAACAGCTTATAAAAGGAGACCCAAAAAATACTGAAGAAAATAATACCTTAAAAAATAGACTAACTCAAATGGCAAAAGAGGTCCAAAAAACCAATGAGGAGAAGAATGCCTTAAAAAGCAGAATTGGCCAAAAGGAAAAGGAGATCCAAAAGCTCACTGAAGAAAATACTTCCTTAAAAATTAGAATGGAGCAAATGGAAGCTAATGACTCTATGAGAAATCAAGAAATTATAAAACAAAACTAAAAGAATGAAAAAAATAGAAGACAATGTAAAATATCTCATTGGAAAAACAGCTCACCTGGAAAATAGATCCATGAGAGATAATGCAAAAATTATTGGACTACCTGAAAACCATGATCAAAAAAATAGCTTACACATAATCTTTCAAAGAATTATCAAGGAAAACTGCCCTGATATTCTAGAACAAGAGGGTAAAAGAGAAATTGAAAGTATCCACTGATCACCTCCTGAAAGAGATCCCAAAAGGAAAACTCCCAGGAATATCATAGCCCTCCCAGGTCAAGGAGAAAATATTGTAAGCAGCCAGAAAGAAACAATTTAAGTATTGTGGAAACACAATCAGGATAACACAAGATGTAGCAGCCTCTACACTGAGGGATCAGAGGGCTTGGAATATGATATTCTGGAAGTCAAAGGAGCTAAGATTAAAACCAAGAATCACCTACCCAGCAAAACTGAGTATCATCCTTCAGGGGAAAAATGGGCATTCAGTGAAATAGAGGACTTTCAAGTATTCTTGATGAAAAGACTAGAGCTAAATAGAAAATTTGACTTTCAAATACAAGACTCAAGAGAAGCATGAAAAGGTAAACAAGAAAGAGAAATCATAAGGAACTATTAAAGTTGAACTGTTTACATTCCTACAAGGAAAGATGATGTTTTTATCTTATGAGACCTTTCTCAGTATTAGAGTCATTGGAAGGAGTGTGTGTGTGTGTGTGTGTGTGTGTGTGTGTGTGTGTGTGTGTAGACAGAGAGACAGACAGACAGACAAAAAGAGAGAGACAGAGAGAGAGCATAGGGTGAATTGAATATGAAGGGATGATATCTAAAAAATAAATTTAAGGGGTGAGAGAGGATTGTACTGGGAGAAGGAGAAAGGGAAAGGTAGAATGGGGGTAAATTATCTCACATAAAAGAGATAAGTCAATTAACCCTGATTGTCTTACCAAAGAAAAGCAAAAAACAAATAAACAAACAA